TCCAGGCAGAAAAATCAAGTCTCTTAAGGGAGTGTGGATTGGGAGAGGTTACCTCAGGCCTCTCTACTCCAACAGTCAATGCTACAAGACAGTGTGGCAACAGTATGGTAATGTCTCCAAAATTTTGATGGAGAGAAAATGTAACAGTATCATGCAGCCAAACTGTCCTTTTTGTATAAAGGAAACAGACAAGCATTCTCCCCTAAACATGACAGACTCAAAAAATACAGCAACCACCAAACTTTCCTGAAATAGTATCTTAATGAAATCTAACCATCGCCAAGATAAATCAAACTAAACTCAGGAAATGAAAAGTTGTGGTGGGGAGTATTTACTGGACAGTAACAGAAGGTAACTCAAAGTGGGTGCCTGGTAACATTCTCTTTATCAATCTGGGTGCTGGTTATAAAGGTATGTTCATCTTGTGAAAATTGTTCATGCTATATATATATATATATATATATTATGAGCCACACACTTTTCTATGTGTACCATATATATATATATGTATATATGTATATATATGTGTGTGTATATATATGTATATATAATGCTTTTAAAAAGCAATGAAAGGCCTTCATAACAAAGTATTTTTTAAGAAGAACAGACAATGATTAGTCAGGGCACATATCAGAGCACGGAGGAAGTAGGTAGTATTCAAAGAAGTTGTCAGGAGCAAAATAATTGAAAAAGTTCTGATCAGTTTCCATAAACTACAGCTTAAAAGCATGAATTCAAGGAGTACTTTCTTTTTTATTCTTTTTTTCTCTTTTTTAAAAATCCTCAACTGAGAATATAAGCATTTATTGATTTTAGAGAGGAAGGAAGAGACAGAGAGAGAGAAGAGAGAGAGAGAGGAGAGAGAAACATAGATGTGAGAGAAAAACATCGATCGGTTGCCTCTCATGTGTGCTCTGACCCAGGATCGAACCTGCAACCTTTTTGGGATGACGCTTCAACAAAATGACCCACCCACTCAGGGTCCATGTGTACTTTCTTGAAGTGACACTCATGAATTATGAGTGTGCTTACATAAAACAAGAATGCATGTTTTCTTAATGGGAAGAATTGATTTGTTTCCTGCCCACCATTTCCTTTCCTTACTCAAACTTAAAAAAGTAATAAACTTACTGTTCAAGCTTAAAAAAAAGTAATAAACCAAGTAATTTTACATTTTGAACTACTGTTTTAGAGCTTGCTATCAAATATTAAACTTCCATAGTCTTACTTAGATATTTAATTTGCAAAGATTTCTAGAAGACATTTTTGAAACAATAAGGCTAACATCTATGGATCTACGTTTTAAATAATCTACCACCCAACTGCTGAAAAAGGTGGTTTAAAGCTAGCTTTGAAAGAATGATTTACCCTGATCTAAGCCAAGTTTCATTTTCCTCAATCTATACATGTTAAAGATGACTAGATAATTAAAGAATTCATTCTCCCACACAATGAGACATTCCACCCAAAGCTGGTATTAGGCAAATTATATTATACATATGACATTTATCTCTGAAATTCCCCCAAGTATCCATTTCCTCATTTTTACTCCTCCTTGTCCCATAAAACTCTGAGAAAGGATTTAATATTAATTCTAAAAGTAATTAGTTATTCCATCCACCAAAGTATTAGTTTTTTTATCAGAAGCCAAAATCTTCATGTCAAAGGGAACAAATTCTAAAGGCTCTCAACAGCAAGCTGACAGTGCAGGCACTGACGGTGACAGCGAGGGGCATTCTGACACACCTGCTCTGCTGAACCTTCCTTATAAACCAGTTTCTGACCCACGGAAACAGTAATAAAAAATAGAATTGCAATAATTATGTATTTCTATCTGCAAAGAAAAAGAAGAATCACACAGTTAATGGATACTTTGTCTATTTTTACATGCTTAAAATCAAAAGAAAGGGCTTCATCTAACATGTGCCAAAATAAGCTTAAGGGATAATATAGACAAATTTGGCCTTGTGTGTTACACTGGAGAAAAATTTTAAGCAAGTATATACAGTGATATGGTCATGTCATCCTTTCTACTGCTTAATGAAATATAAATCACTGGCACTGACTAACCTAAGATATGCCTGAAAAGACTACTATCAGAATATACTGCAGCCATGACAAGGTACATGAAATACTAGGAGTGGAACGTTTTGAAAAAAGTGAACTAATGATCCAAGCACACGGCCAATAGAGGGGAACTTCTTCAACTTGATAAACATTAACCAAAAACCCTACAGCTAATATCATATGTAATAGTTAGAAACGAGAAGCTTTCTTGTTGAGATCAGGAAAAGACAAAGATGCCCCCACTGACCACTCCTTTTCAACATTGTGTTGGAAATCCTAGCTAATGCAACAAGAAAAGCAAATAAAAGGTTTACAGACTGGGAGAGAAGAAATAAAACTGTCTTTATTTTCAGGAGACATCATTGTCAATGTAGAAAATTTAGAAGAACTGACACAAGAAAAATGAAAGAAAAAAAAAAAACAAAACCTCCTGGAAATAATAAGTGATTATAGCAAAGTTGCAGGATATAAGGTTGACATATAAAATTCAACTGCTTTCCAATGTACCAGCAAAGAACTGGAGTCTGAAATTAAAAGCAACTTACATGGTATACCATCTTAAAAGACAGAAAATTCAACTGCTTTCCAATGTACCAGCAAAGAACTGGAGTCTGAAATTAAAAGCAACTGACATGGTATACCATCAAAAAAGAAAACAGAAGAGAAGAGAAAAGAAGAAAAAAAAGACTTCCGGCCAAGAAGGAGGTGTAAATAGATATACTTTGCTTCCTCACACAACTAAAAGAAGGACAACAACCAATTTAAAAACAAAAAACAGCCAGAACTTCCAGAAAATCAAACTGTATGGAAGTCCAAAAACCACCGAGTTAAAGAAGAACATTCATCCAGACTGGTAGGAGGGGCGGATATGGGCAGCCGGGGTGGAGAGGATGCGCAGCAAGGCTGTAGCTGGTGGACTGGGCGGGCAGGGTGGCAACTGGCAGACTGTGTGGTCCCACATTCATGTGGATAAACCAGGAAGAACAACTGGGCAGCGAGACAGAGTTCCAGCACAGGGAAATAAAGCCTCATAAACTGTGGCTACAAAAATCTGTGGGGGTTGTGGTGGTGGGAGAAATTGCCAATCTCACAAGAGAGACCACTGGAAGGACCCCTGGGGTCCTAGACCGTACACAAAAGCACCAATTTGGGAATCAGCACCAAAAAGGCCCAATTTGCTTGTGGGTAGGGGGGGAAGTGACTGAAAGCAGGACGAGAGCTGGGCAAGCATTACTGTTTCCTCCCTGATGTTTCCCACATATACCGCCACAAAGCAGTGACATGGGTTGCCCTGCCCTGGTGAATGCCTCAGGCTCCACCCCTTACAAAGTAACAGGTGTGCCAGACAAAAAAATATGGCTCAAATGAACGAAGAGATAAAAAACTCCAGAAGAAGAACTAAGCAATAAGGGGAGAGCTAAGCTATCAGATGCAGTGTTCAAAACACTGGTAATAAGGATGCTCACAGAAATGATTGAGTATCATTGCAAAATAAAGGAAAAATTGAAGGCTATACAAAGTGAAATAAAGCAAAACACACAGAGAACCAAAAGTGAAGAGATGGAAACCAAGACTTGGATCAACAATTTGGAACAGAAGGAATAAATAAACATTTGGCCAGAACAGAATGAAGAAACAAGAATTCCAAAAAATGAGAGGCTTGGAACCTCTGGGACAACTTTAAAAGTTCCAACATCCGAATCATAGGGGTGCCAGAAGGAGAAGAGGAATAGCAAGAAATTGAAAACTTACTTTAAAAAATAATGAAGGAAAACTTCCCCAATCTGGTGAAGGATATAAATATGCAAGTCCAGGAAGCTTAGGGAGTCCCAAAGAAGGTAAACCCAAGGAGGAACACACCAAGGCACATCATAATTAAATTACCCAAGATTAAAAATAAGGAGAGAATCTAAAAAGCACCAAGAGAAAAGCAGAGAGCTACCTACAAAGGAGTTCCCATAGACTATCAGATGATTTCTCAAAAGAAACCTTGCAGGCAAGAGGGGCTGGAAATAAGTATTCAAAGCCATGAAAGGCAAGGACCTGCATCAGAGATGACTCTATCCCGTGAAGCTATCATTTAGAATGGAAGGGCAGATAAAGTGCTTCCCAAATAAGGCCAAGTTAAAGGAGTTCATCATTATCAAGCCCTTACTATATGAAATGTTAACACGGCTTATTTAAGAAAAAGATCAAAACTATGAACAGTAAAATGACAACAAACTCACAACTACCAAGAACTGAACCTAAAAAACAAAACAAAAGCAAACTAAGCAAACAACAGGGACAGAAGCACAGAAGTGGAGATCACATGGAGGGTTATCAGTGGGGAGTAGGGGAAGAACGGGGGAAACGGTGCAGGAAATAAGCAGCATAATTGGTAGGTACTAAATAGACAGTGGGAGGTTAAGAACAGTATAGGAAATGGAGAAGCCGAAGAACTTATATGTACAACCCACAGACATGAACTACGGGAGGGAAGAAATCGGAAAAATGTAATAGCATCATCAATAAAATCTACTTGAAAAAGGAAAAATTTAGTTAAAATTTTTATTTCTTTATTTATTATTAGAGAGAGGGGAAGGAAGGGAGGAAGAGAGGGAGAGAAACACCGAGGTGCAAGAGATACATTGATTGGTTGTCTCTACCACAACCCCAATAAAGACCTGGCCCCCAACTCAGGCATGTGCCCTGACTGGGAATCGAACCGGCGTTCTTTTGGTTCACAGGTTGGCACTCAATCCACTGAGCCGCATAAGCCAGAGCAAGGCACAAATTTAATAAAATTAATTTAGGTATAGTATCTGTATGAAACAAACTACAAAACTCTTATGAAAATATCAAAGAACTAAATAAATATATATTCCTTGTCCATGGATAGACTCAAAATTGTAAAAGCATCTGTCATTCCCAATTCAATCTATAGATTCAATGCAATCTTTTTTTTTTTTTTTTAAATGTAACATCAGGTTTCGGTATTAAGTCCCTTTGTTGTTCATCACTTGTGAGATTCAATGCAATCTTAATCAATACCCCGGCTGCTTATTTTATGGTTATTGACAAGCTGATTCTAAAGTTTCTTTACAGAGGACTTCCTAATCAAGTGGCAGTGTAGGCAGATATGGCTTGTCTCTTTGCACAGCCACATCAATATTACAACTAAAATACTGAACAGCCATAACTCAGAACCATCAGAAATTGAGTTGAATGGAAGTCTGGCAACTATGGAATTAAAGAAACCATATCCACCCAGACTGGTAGGAGTGGCACAGACACAGAATGGGCTGGTCCCACATTCATGTGAGATGGATCAAAATTCAGGAATGCTATCTTAGGAGCAAGAAGTCCCAGCCCTACACAAGGTCCCAGGCTCAGGGTCCCAGTGTCAGGAAGGTAAGTCCCCACACCTTCTGGCTGCAAAAACCAACGGGGACTGAGTTGGTGGTAGAAACTTCTGGATCCCCAAGCAGTTCTTCTTAAAGAACCCACACATGAATTTATTCAGTCTCACTCCCTCTGAGCTCCAGCACTGGGGTAACAGCTTGAAAGGCACCAGTGGTACACTGGGAGAATCCTGAACTGTCTGTGATCAAGGGGAGCAGAGGCCAGCGTCTTTTCTAAACACTCCCCCCATAGAGCCACAGAGCTGGAAAGCTGGCACCATATCTAAGACTCCTTCAATGTGGCTAACACTCTTTGACCTGCCTTGAAGATCCCCAGAGACTCTGCCCCACCCAACTTACGGGCCCACCCAAGCTGCATTTCCATATGAATGGCTGGTCTCAACTCCTGCTTCACAACTTCCTAAATTCTCTCAAATGAGCAAGCGCAGGCCTCAGTGAGCCCCAGGCCCAGCACTAGCAGCAGTCAGACAGCTTGGCTTTGCCTGGGAATCTCCAAGCCCAGCACAAGTAACAGTCATCTCAGATTGCTTTATAGCTCAGGCAGGGTGGCTGCAGGCAAAACACAGATGGGGGCTGACCCTGGCATACACCGCCTGGGAAACTCCAGGGCCAGCACACCCAGTGGAGAGCTACAGACCACATCGGAGCACCATGACCCTGCGCCTGCACAGCATATAATCCATGGAGACTGGAGGTTGGTGGTCAGTGGTCACAGCCAGTCCTTGAAGCTGACTGGCCTAGGTAAATCCCTCCCCCTGATATGCAAATAGCAACTGAGGCTCAGCTACAAGAGGAGGGAGTAGCCAGCCCACTTGAAAGGCACACTTAAGTACCCAGCTTGGGTGACAGGGCAAGCTGTGCCACTGGACCCTACAGGACACCTACTACATTAGGCCACACTACCAAGACATGAGTCAAAGCAGCTGTACCTAACACACAGACACAAATACAGGGAGGCTGCCAAAACAAGGAGGCAAAGAAACATGACCCAAATGAAAGCACAGATCAAAACTCCAGCAAAAGGGGTAAAAGAAATGTAGAGAAGAAATCTACCAGATGCAGAGTTGAAAACACTGGTTAAAAGGATGCTCAAGGAACTTAGTGAGGATCTCAACAGCATAAAAAATATCTAGTCAGAAACGAAGGATAACCTAATTGAAATAAAGAACAATTTCAGGGAAACAACAGTAGAGTGGATGAAGCCAAGAATCAGATCAATGAACATAAGGAAGCAAAAAACAAACCAATCAGCACAAGAAAAAGGAATCCAAAAAAATGAGGACAGTATAAGCAGCTTCTGGGACAACTTCAAGCATACCAATATCTGCATCATGCGGGTACCAGGAGGAGAAGAGAAAGAGCAAAACATTGGAAAATTATTTGAAAAAATAATGAAAGACAACTTCCCTAATTTGGTGAAGGATATAGATGTGCAAATGCAGGAAACAGAGAGAGTCCCAAACAAGATGGATGCAAAGAGGCCCACTCCAAGACACATCATTAGTAAAATTCCAAAGGTTAAAGGTAAAGAGAGAATCTTAGCGGCAGTAAGGAAAAAGAAGTAAGTTACCTACAGGGGGGTTTCCATAAGGCTGTCAGCTGATTTCTCAAAAGAAACTTTGCAGGCTAGAAGGGACTGGCAAGAAATATTCAAAGTCATGAAATGCAGGTACATACAGCCAAGATTGCTCTACCCAGCAAAGCTATCATTTAGAATTGAAGGGCAGATAAAGAGCTTCCCAGAGAAGGTTAAGCTAAAGGAGTTCATCATCACCAAATCCTGATATTATGAAATGTTAAACAGACTTATTTAAGAAAAAGAAGCAGCAAAACCATGAACAATAAAGTGGGAATAAACACTATCAACAACTGAATCTAAACAAACAAGAACAGAGACAGAATCATGGCTACAGAGAACATTTTGATGATTACCAGGTGGGAGGAGGGTATGGAGTCATGGGTGAAGAGGTGAGGAGATTAAGTACAAATAGGTAGTTACAGAATAGCCATAGGGATGTACAGTACAGTATAGGAAATGGAGTAGACAAAGAACTTATACACATGACTCATGGACATAAACACTGGTGGGGGGATTGCCTGAGGGAGTAAGGGGTGCTGGGTAGACTGGGGCAAAGGGGGAAAAATCAGGACAACTGTAATAGCATAATCAATAAAATGTAATTTAAGAAATGTTTCTTTACAGAGACAAAAGACTTACATCAATGGAACGGAATACAGTGCTCAAAAATAGACCCACACAAGAATAAGTAACTGATCTTTAACAAAGGAACAACTGGAATTCAATGGAGAGTGGACAGGTCTTTCAACAAATGGTGCTAGACCAACCAGAAAATCCACATGCCAAAAAAAAAAAAAAGGTTTAGCCACAGACCTTCCACCCTCCAAACACACACAAATATTAACTCAAAATGGATCACAGACCTAAATGCAAAACCATAAACCTAGATTGTAATTAGGGAAGAAATATGATGACTTTTTAGATACAACATCAAAGGTACAACCCATGAAAGAAAGATTCTTTAAGTTGGCCCTTATTAAAATTAACAATTCTGCTCTGTGAGAGATACTCAAGGAAATGAAAAGACAAGGCACAGATTTGGAGAAGATATTTGCAAAAGACATATCTGATTAAGGACTGTTATAAAGCATAAGAAATTATTTAAATAAGAAAACATCCCAGTTTAAAAATAAACGAAGGATCTGAACAGACACTTCACCAAGAAAGATATATAGATGGCAAATAAGTATGAAAAAATGCTCAACATCATATGCCATTAGGAAATTCAAACTGAAATAACCATGAGATACCACTACACATCTATTATAATGGCTAAAATCCAAAACACTGACTGCAACAAATGCCGGTGAGGATGCAGAGCAACAGGAACTCTCATTCATTGCTGTGTTAATGCAAAATGGTATAGCTGCTCTGGAAAACAATTTGGCAATTTCTTACTAAATTAAATACTCTTGCCATATGATCCAGCAATGATGCACCTTGGTATTTACCCAAAAGACTTCAAAACTTATGGACATACCATAATCTGTATAGTATTTGTAACAGCTGTATTCATAATTACCAAAACGTGGAAGCAAGCAACAGTTGGTGCATGTGTAAACCATGGTAGATCTAGGCAATAGAATATTAAGTGCTAAAAACAAAGCCATGAAACCATGAAAGAACCTTAAATGCATATTACTAACCTAATAAGCCAATATGAAAAGGTATCTTCTGTATGTTTCCAAGTAAACATTTTGGAATAAGAAAACTATGGAGAGTAAAAAAAGATCAGTGACTGCCAGCGGTTTGGGGACAGAGAGAGGGGATGCAGAGAGGATTTTTAGGGCAACGAAAATATTCCATACAATATTAGTAATGGTGAATTCATATCATTATACATTTGTCAAAAACAGCAGAACGTGTACACCAGGAATGAATTCTAATGTAAACTACTGACTTTGGGTGATAATGATGTATTAATGTTGGTTCACTGGTTGTAACAAATGTACCACTCTTGCATGGGATTTGGCTAGTAGAAAAGCTGTACATGTATGCTTTCTGCCTAAAAATGCTCTAAATTATACAGTATATGCATATATAGGGTGAACTAATGCTAACATCTATTGTTATAACATTTTAAAATTCTCTATACATTTTATTCACTTTGATACATGTAAAAACTGAAGTTTTGTTCTAAGTCTCCAAGAATCCAAACTTACAAGTTGTACTGTATGATGGGTTCTATATTCCTCTTCACTCCGGAGGCGCTGTTGGAATTTTTCATTGTGTTTTGCTATACAAATTTCCTATAAATACATAAAATGTGTTTTAATATAAGTGAAATTTAAAAGACTCTAAATACCATACCACTGATTACTTGATAGAGTTAAATTTTAATTTTAATATATACCTATAAAGCAAAATACCAAGTAAACCATCTCTGGTTTCTCATTAGGAATTCTGAAGCTGCATAACCCTAATCAGGATCTTAAAAAAATTCTTCTATCAAACTATTAAGACTTCTCTAACCCTCCTGATTTTTTTTTTTTTTTTTTTTTTTTTTTTTTTGGTGGAGGTCTGGGGATGGAGCAAGGTAGGAGGGATGGGAGTGTCCTTACATAATCTCAAAGGTCTCTTTTAGCTCTCAAATCTGTGGCCAGAAGATTCTGTGTCTTAATTGTATTCTTTAAACTGTCTGGGCAAAAAGGACATACAACTCTTGGCTTAAAGCTTGTATTCTTAAGCTCTCTTTGATGAATTAAAGAACATGATTTTGCCCAGAATGGTTTAAACCATATCATGAAATCTCAAAACTTCTGGGCGCAGACTTCAGAACTAAAAGAGATCTTAAAGACTAGAATGTCAGAAATATAAAGAAAATATAGGTATGCTTTTTCTAATCACGTGAAAATAAAAACAATGATAAAATGGGATGTATCTGCTTCTTTACAAAATAATGCACTATTATCTGGCAAGTTTTTAGTGCCACTATGCCAAGTCTTCATTTTCTCTGGGTCCTTCTGGAAAAGTCCCCCAGAGAAAAGGGTTTATGTTAGTTACCAACACTGCCAGTTCTATACCAA